CGGCGGCGGCGGTGGTGGTAGTGGTGGTTGGAGTGGTAGACGTGATCGTGGCAGCGATAGTGTGGGTGCTAGTGCTGCAGTTACTGATGGCACGGATCATACTTGTACTGGTGCACAGTTGATCGCCAATGACAATCCGGATCTGACCACTACTACTACCACTACTCCTGTCGAGCGTACACACCATCCGACAACTGCTTCGTCACATACGACCAGTCGACGAACTACCGGTTCCCGTGCGGAAGATTTACACAGCGACATGAAACCACCGGGATTCGGTGTGACGGCATTCACTGCTCCAACCGGGATGACGGAACCGCAAACAGCGCAGCAAACTCAGCCTCCTGCGCCAATAGACCCGCTGGACTTGGTCATTGCAAAGCGAAAAAAGAAGGAACTAGCAGATCCGGTTATTGCCGAGGCAATTATGACCGCATGCAAGCTTCCGCCACCCCCAATCCCTGAGACTGAAAATTTACACGAGGTCCCCGAAGAGCTTCAGCAGCTCATGTCTTTTGGATTCGCCCGACACACTACGGACGAGAAAGATTTGGAATTCTTGCGGAACTATCCCCTTCATCAGAAACCCAGAGAACCCTTAAAAGTGCCCACAGTTTCCCAAATGTCTCGATATGAAACGTTCCGGAAAAAGTATTGGTCCGCAGCTTTTCGTCGTCATCGAGATCAGGAGGAGGATGATGAAAAACATGCCCCAGTGGATGTGGGCTATGTGGATGGTGATACGGGAACCGGACCAGCATTGGGAGGTACCAGGAAAGATTTTTTCCCAATCAGTGTCCACACCGATGAGGATTGGTTTATGGAGAGTGTGCTTCATGTGATGTGTATCCTGCTCATCGTCCTCACACTTCCTCTCTCATTAATTTTCTGTTTAAAAGTAAGTCTCCGTGTGGTCCCGTTTTGAGTCCATTGAAATCATTACTACAGGCTATCGCATGAATAGTTGGTTGGTTTTCGATAGTCCGTGTAATATAGCTATTCATTATATACACTAGATATATATTTTTTTGCGAACATTAAGATAGTAACGGTACATCACCCCCCCCCCCCCCCC